ATATATATATATATATAAATCATTTACTGTCACCCTTGCATGCTGCCCCTCCCTTCTTCCTCTGTGATTGCTTCATCTGTTATTTTTTCACAAAGCAAAATTAAAAAGTGGTTTTGTTTCCTTTTCTCTCCGACAGGCTCAGTCTCTGGAGAAAAAGTAGGGATTTATTTCTTTTTCTCTTCCGGTCTTCCACAAGTTTTTCGGCAGTGTGTATTTTTTCACTCTTCACTTTCTTCCTCCCCTCCCCCCTGCCCTCCTTGTGTTATCACAACCCTTACCTTGACTATGCATGTTGAAGAGACACACCCGGTCGCTTCATTTCTACCAATCACTGAGACACGCCAAGGAGATGTACTTCCTGTGTTCTGTGGAAGAAAAGTGGAGCAGAGGAGAGCAGAGTTTTCTGGGCTTGTTTTGTTTTGTTGCCGAAGGTGGGGGTCCACACACACTCACAGGGGACAGTAGTAGTGGACACGCTGAGAGGGATTTTTGCTTGTGAAAGACCAACTTGCGGAACGCCACTACAACTATAAGGACGGGACAGAGACAAAGAGGAGGGAAGAGATAAGTGTCAATCTGTTGAGACTTGTTTGGGAATTTGAGGAAGGAGGAGAAGTGGGGGGAAGAGACAGAGAGAGGCAGCAAGAGGGAAAAAGCAAGGAGAATTCGGGCGTAAACATGAACCTTTCAGAAGAGTAAAAACAAGTGAGAGGAGGAAACAAAAAAAGAGACTAAATAGTTGTTCAGACGTATTTGGAAAAACAAGTTTGCCATTTGATCTGTCACCCGGATAATGTCAGCACAAGGAACTAATATGTTGTGCAATCCAGTGCTTTTTGGCTGAGCTGGAGTAGAAGGGGTAGACCACATCTCCCTTAGGCACACCTTCAGGTGAGTTACTCTAATGTGCTTCTTTACTTCTGTAATATGTCTCTAATTTGAAGCCCGATTGGAGACCTAATCCATTTTTAGTTTGAGGACTACATGCCTTGCCCATGTGTCACGGGCCTCTGCTCTCTGAAAGGCTCCTTGTGGTATGCTGCATTTTTTGCAGGTCTGTGCTGCATTCTTACTGAACTGTTAAAGGCTGTCCTCCCTCTCACTCCTCGCATTCTCGTTTAAGTTGATTGACAAATGATTTTTAACTTCAAGTAGAGGTGCAGAAATTTAAAGAAAAATTAGAATGCAGTGTTTTATGTTTAAACAGTAACAACCAAATTAAAGCAACATTTCAGTGGACTGAAACAATTTCTAAGGGTTTGAAGTACTTATGCATGTTCTTGACTTGACCTGTACTTAGGTATTTAATCTGCAGTACTAATGCAAATTGTAATTTAACTGACAACTACTACCTTGTTCTAGGCTCTTCTCATTTTGCTGCAATGGAGACCAAAAACGGCCATCTTTAACACCGGTGACACACTTTCTAACCTAACAACGATGGACAAACTTCTCCCTAGAGGAAAGGTCTCTCGGGATCCAAGTCCTCTGTCAGGAATGAGGGGCATCTTCCACCGAGGAGACAACAATCAAAAACAAAACAGGAAGAAGGAGAGCGAAACTCAGAAAATGAGGGATGAAGAAGTGGTCGGCCTGGAGCGATCGATGGACAGAGACAGACCTCCCCGCATCAGAGATGGCGAAAGAGAGTGGAGAGATGGAGAACGAAGGCAAGCCGATGGCAGAGACAAACAATGCAGGCCGTCGTCAAATGTAGAGATGACTGAGACTGAGCAATATGTAAAAACAGGGACAAAGAAAGGTGACACGTTTCCCAGAGAGAGAAAGGGAGACAGAGATCCTATTACAAGAAAGATGACAGAAGGAGAAATGAGGCAGAGGGATGGACCCAGAAGAGAACAGATGGAGGACTGGGAAATTGAAAGATCTAGGCGCCAAGACGGAGAAAGAGAGGAGATCCAAAGGAGGGCAACAGAAGATGGAAGAAGACCACCAGAAGATATCAGAACACAAAAGAGAGAAAGATATAAAGTATCTGGAGTTGAGTTTCAAGACAGGAAAGGAGAAGTGGATGATTCATGGGTTAGGAGAGATAGGGATGCAGGTAGAAAAAGAGATCAGTTCAGAGCTGTGATGGATACAAAGGATTCTGAAAGGTGTTCTCCACAAAGGAGACCAGAAACAGAAAGGTACACAGGAAGGACGGAGAGAACAGCAAGGAAAGATGCCAGGAATGAAGGAGATATTGATGCGAGAGAGTTGGAGAGAAGGGAAAAAATGAGGGACAAAGATATAGAGCAGAGGACCCCTTTCAGCAGGAATGAGGTGTTCTACCAGAGCAGAAGAGCGCGGGGAAGGGATCGACGTGGAAACCAGGAGAGATATAGGGAAGAAAGACATAAGAGGAGAGAACAGGATGACTGGTCAACAGACAAAGATCTCAGAACAGAAATGAGACCAGCAGACACAGGGTATGAAAGAAGGCAAGCGATCAGAAGGGATGGCAGGAGAGAGGATGATCAATGTAGAAATCAGAGACAAGACAGAGAGGGGAAAAAAAGGCAGGAAGATGGAAGGGAAGGCGTGAGCAACAGATCCTTGAGTGATTCTTCTCCTCGAGCAACACCACGAGGCCAAGTCAGTGGAGAGTGGAGAAGCAAGGGGCATAGTGACATGAGGTACATAAGAGATTATGACAGGGAACAAAGAAGGGAGGGCAGTGTTGGAAAAGAACCCCAAATAGATCCAGGGCAAACAGGTGAGAAAAGACAAAGGCAAATTCTAAGAGGTGAGAGGTTTGACAGAAATGAAAGCGTATCTTGTGGTTCAGACAAGGCACGGATGTGGCTAGAACCACAGAGGGGCACATCACAACCAAGGCAGAAAGAGGGGAGGAGAATAGACGAAAGGGAAATAAAGTCACAGGAAGAAGGGGAAAGAGATGTGTGGCAATTACGAGGGGATCCAGATGAGAGGAACATGACCCAGAGTAGAGAAGTAAGAGAACGCAACGAGGACTCTGAGGGGTTGAGTGTAGATGGAGACGAGGACGAGGAAGTCTGGAGAGACAGTTTTAGTGAAGACAAGGAACCGCTGCCCAACAGTGGTAGGAAGGAAGCTGAGAGAAGCTGGAGGATGGATATTCAGGGAGAAAACTTGTTAAATAGCACTAGTGGCACAGAGGAAGAAGGTGGGAGCTCTTCTGGGAGTAGAGGAGGGAGTGTCAACAGCTGCAATCCAAACAGAGACAGGATGCTGTCTTCCGAGTCCGGCAATGTGTTTCTGTCCAGTGGGGTAGATAATGGGCATGAGATGGAGCAGAGATTTAGGATGAGGGAGAAATTTAGTGAACCTAGAAACTCAAACAAAAGAGAAAAGGACTCGGCAACAGGGGATGAGGAAGTGATTAACGCAGAGCAGCAAGGGAGAGAAAATAAGTCGATCTTCTGTGCAGTTGGGCAAACTGTTTCCCAGTCAGAAACTCATGAGGTGTCACTGTCACAAGATGACGAGGGAGGGGTGGAAACATATGACACAAATAAAGAAGGTCATCAACGGAGAAGTGATGAGGATACACGTAAACCTCAGCACCACCCAACACCAAGCAGAAGGAATCAGCAGCCAAGGGGAGAGAGCCTCACTTCACGAGACCCGAGTGGAGATGGCTATGCAGCACCTGTGGACCTTCAAGACAAAGAAGTTGAAGAAATAATGAGACAGGGGCCACTGCCCACTGATATGGGGATAAAGAAAAAAGACTCAAAGACCGAAAGGCTCCTAGAACAATGGAGAGAGAAGAATAACAGGAAAGAGGATCAAACATCTTGTGGCGATCTTCCTCATTGCAGCAGCTTTGAACAAATTCAACCTTTCCTGAATGAGCTAGACACTGAAGCAATGAGTCCAGAGGAGGTGGAGGCCATTCGCATCCGAATGAGCGGGGTATGGATGGATCCTGAGCGAACCAAGCGGCGCTCCGATGCCCCTCACCTTAAATGGGCCACAAGTGTAGTCCGTGAGATCCTGGGCCACTCTGGTGAACAGACAGAGGACGAACCAAATTCGGGGGCAGAAGAAAACCAGCATGTCAAGCAGGCTGTGAATGATGAGCATCAAGAAGAGGCTGAGAGCAAGAGTGTGAACTTGCCTGTTGTGACTCTGACAACAGATGATCAACAATCAGAGCCAGATCTTGAGGAAGAAGAGGAGGAGGACGACGACTTCGATTTTAAAGGTATGAGGCAGACCCAAAGCAACAAGCATGCTGACTAGTTTACAGTTATGCATGTTGTAACACACACCCTCACTCTGACACACTGTTTAACAGTATAGGGAAGGAAGGTGACATTTTGGAGCAAAGGACAGAAGCTGGGAAGGCAGATTTAGCTGAGTTAGGAGAAGCAGCTGAAGAAACAGGCAGAGAACAGGAGGTGGATATGTATCTAAGTGTGAGTGACACTCTCTACAAGCCTAGAAGCTGTCCCATTCTTAGTTATAAATCTGAATCTGACCTCCTGACTCTCCCTGGAGAAGGTGAGAGCCAGGAGGTGCCAGATGAAAATGGACAAAGAGTAGATGAAAGACAAGGAGACAAGACAGTGGACATAAGAGAGGAGACCTTGAAGAGCTCCTGCAGTTTTCAGGATTCCGGTCCTCAAATTCGTTTACGAAAAATGGGAATCCGTAAGGCCAAAGAGAGACAAAACAGAGAGCATGTTGACGTGGAAGGAGAAGAAGAAGAAGGTGTTGGAAGAGATTGCAGAGCAAGAATATTTTCTTCCCCAGGTAAACCAGAATACCGACTGGGGAAAACTAGAAACATCTACTCGAATCCATTAATCATTTCGGAAAGCTCCAGAATCACCTCCTATTTCTTGTCACTTCTTAGGCGTGATTGCTTCCACAACGCAAATCCTAATCCAAATTTCAAATCAACACTACGCACATTGTCATCTCCTGATCTTCTTACTGCTTCTTCTGTTTTCTAGTCTGAATAACATTGGCTTCCTGTTCTGGGAATCATAATCTCGAAGCTGTTATCTGCATCTTGTCACTGTCAAAGATCCAGAACTACGCAGAGCTTGAGTGCTTCTCGGAATAGGAAACTATGTCATGGAGTTGTAATTACATTCAGTGGAAATTACAACAGGTGGGGAAAACCACAGGTGTGATTTAAAAGGGGGCAATCATCAGTGATCCTTCCAGACACAAGAGAAGCATGAGCACTAGAAACAACTAAATCTATATTTAATCTAATTTATTTTCACTTTTTTCATATTTATTACAAGTTTTATGTATTTTGATTTTGGAAACAGTCTTAAATTATTTAAAATGCTATTTTATAATCCCACTACAAATGTATATTTTCTTATTCCAGATGATAATGATTTTAAGAGCAAAAGCTGGGGAGAGGCAGAACTAAGGTGAGTTTAGCAACATTTAAATGATTCTTAAAATATATTTGTGTCAAAAAATATAAGCAATGTACTAGTCCTTGAACAGTTTTAGTTATTCATCATTTTAGTCTAGCGTGAATTATCTCTGAAGCCTTGAGTTTGTTTTGTCATAACTGAGGTTTTAGGCAGGTGTTTATAAATGCGCTGAATTAACATGTTTTCTTTTACTTCCATTCACTTACAGGAATGCTTTAAACTCCAACATAAAGAAGAATAGGAAAAGTTTTTACAGTGAGTATCTGAGTTTTAGCTTTGATTTTGTTTACTCATATTATTCACTTTTAATATAAGTCTAGCACATTGTATAAAATAACACTGTGGTCTGTAATTACTTTCACAGTTTACTTTCTGTCAGTCAAGCATTTATACGGTAAATTTAGGATATCAGTAAATTGCAGGGGACGTGACAGGTCTGCAGGTCACATCAGATCTGGCCGTATTGACGGAAACCATGACATAGTCATGCATTTCCTCTCAGAGAGCGTGACTCATTTCTGTGTAAATCCAAACCCACTGGGTGTTTATCACTTAATCACTTCACGTCAACGTGAAATTTTCACTCACATACACAAGCAAAGGCAAATGTGTGTCAGTTTACTGTTTAGGTCACACAGCTTTATAAACTGATGTTTTAAGCAATCTGACATGGAAGCAGTTTGCCGTCCACTGGCTCACATGGCTCTTGCGAGAATGTGTTTGTGCTTGATCTGTATATAAATGAGTTTGTGCAAGCCTCTGCAGGTTTCTGCAAGTGTTCATCTGCGGCTGTGACTTTACATTCCAATATGTAAGAGTAAAAGACTTCTCTGACTTTGTAACGCTTTCTGTTTGGGCTTAGAGTATTTCCAAATCTCGTAGGTTTAGATTTCAATATTTTTCAATATTTTTTTTTTTATTCAACCGATAAGTTTGTATCTAAGTGGAAATGACACAATCAACTCCCAAAAGACACAAAGATAATGTTGAGGAGTTTCTTTTTTTTTTTCGTTTAAAAGTCATGTTGTAAATGATTTCTACCTTTCTCAAAAGTCTTTGCTAAAATTATATCACTTCTCATAGTAACCCATAATCTTTTTGTATATCTCCAGTGGTTTTTAAAAAAAATATTTTTATTATAAATGCTTTTATCGTGAGCTACAACTCTTTGAGGTTGGACAGTCCATTTGTTAACTCTCCATAGATTCTCAGGAGTCTGGTTCAACCTTTCCAAGCATTATTTCTTGTGGAGTATTTTCATTTTTTTAACAAAAAAAACAAAAAAAAACACATGCTTCCAACTTGAGATTTCAAAAGCCTTTATTCTGGTTGTGAAAACTCAGGAAATGTCAATTTGAATGATCTTTTTTGGAATTCGGTAAACTTTAGATATAGGCAGGCAATGTAGGAAAACTGTGTATAGACTAGTCTAAAGCAAATTATCTCTTTCCAACGTCTCCACTAAATTATGTGTATAAAGGTGTTTTGTGGGGAGAAGAAAGTAGGACATTTGTCCAATAACTGTCACTGTTTTCTAATTCAAGTCAGAGGAATCATGTTGGTTAACTTAAAGATTACTTTAAATTTGCTAAATTTCAGCATATCTGTGTCTGTCTCCTCTCTTTCCTTCAGATCGTCCTCAGCTCTATCAGCAGTACAACGAGGAGTCTCAGAACATTGAGATTCTGCGTCAGTCCCGCTCAGACACCCTCACAGTGGGCGAGGGAAACAGTCGCTCCCCCTTACCTTCACCTCCACCCGCTCGCAGACCCCTTCCTCCTTTACCGGCTTGCCCACACCCTCATTCCCTGTCCTACTCGGTATGTGGTCACTCCAGCGCCACGACCTTGTCTCTTCCGGACCGATCACAGAGCGAACGCAGGGCCTCCTCTCCGAGTCTGTCCGTCTCGCTCACGCAGTCGTCGTTACTTTGGCGGGATCTGCCCAACGTCTGTAACAACCCCGAGCTGATGAAGCTCACAGATGATCAGAGGCGGCTGCAGGAGGTGAATATCTAACCACACATCAGGAACACGGTCCACATTTGATGGTTCATGTCTGTTTGTATGGAGCAGATGACAGTTCTTAATTCTGATTCTCTTGAGTCTGTTTTAGTCTAACGGGTCTCCCTAAATGCTTCACAACATTTAGGAAGATAGTTTCTGATAATCTTTAATTCTCCCTTCATTCTCTTTAGCATGTGAACGTTTTATCTCGACTTGTTCAAGAATTGTGTAGTAGCAAACAGTAATCTGCTCTTCAATCTCGGGAAATTTACTAGAAACCGCTGACTCAAGAGACTGGAAACTCCAAATAGCCTCTCTCCTATTTTCATACAGACTCTTGAGACTCACAAGTCATTTCCATTATTCAAACCAGACAAATGTTTAAAATGTGAGTTTTCTGTCGCGTACAGCAGCTGCCTTTCAACAATTAAATTACCGCCTGATCATTGGACTTTGACTTAGAGAGCTTATTTTTCTCTCCTGCCCACTTCAGCTGATCTGCTGGATTTTATGACTAGAAAAACTAAACTTTTATTTTTGCTATTAGAATGACCTCTTTCAAAATAGTAAGCTGAATTCTCAAAATTCTTATTTTCCGACAATTCAAACTATTGTTTTTTTTGTTGTTGTTGTTTATAAAAATACAATGGTGACTATTTTTTGTAATTCTATTCAAATAGTCACTAACTTATCAATACACACAGTTGTATATTTCAACTGTACATTTTTTTTTCAGATAAATGTGATGACTGTGTATCATAGCTAATGAAGAAATGTAGCAACATATTACAAAAAGTCAATGAAAATGACAATTTTCTAATCCAGACATATAAGTGTATATGTCACTTGTATACATAGAAGTACATTACATGTTGTATCTTACACAGTCACAGGGAATATTGCAAATTAACTAGTGTTGCAGAAGGCCAATTTAATATTTATATTTCACCTTTTGAATCAAATAAAATAAGAAACATCTGCAAAAAAAAAAGTAATTTATTTTGATGCCTCTCTATATCCTGTCCAAACTTAGCCTTTTCACCCAGACATACACATAATTTAAATGAAAGCAACATTATATTTTCAAAAAGAATATTGTTCTTGAAATGCATTAATAGTAATATGATTGATTTGTTTTGCTCCCTGCTGCTTTATCTATCTATTTTTCCCACTCTAATATGCTGTTGTGCTCTGGCGGTAATTGGAGACTGCTTCTTTTCTTTTTAGGATTCATTTCCTTGTGCTTGTTCATACTTGTTGCGCCACACCTCAAACTCCTGAATTCACACAGATCATACTGGCTTGCCACATTGCAGAATAACCCTTCAACTGATCCACTATTTTATTAACTGTGACTCTGGCCAGAAGGTCTCATTGCATTACTTGGAGTTGCACTTCTTTGATTGCATCAGCTTTCACCAGTACATGTTAAAAGGAGGTTGATTAGTCATTTCAACTACATGAATATAAGCAATCATTTCCTTCTTTTAATCAGTTCCATGTTTCCCCCTGTTTTATTTTATTTTTGCATGCAAGGTGAGATTTGAAGTGGTGACCTCCGAGGCCTCCTACTGCAGAAGTCTGGACATTGTTGTTTTACATTTTGTCAAGAATAAAGAGCTAGGGAAGCTGCTGACGACTCAGGACAAGAACTGGCTGTTCTCCCGTCTGACTGAAGTTCGCGTCATCAGCCACAGGTTGGATGTTTTGAACAATGTTGTCAATCAAATTTTACGTCCATCTAAGCTTGTTAAATGGTGCATTCAACTAAGAGGTGTGCATAATATTGATTGTGTAACCCCCGTTTGTTAGTGAGGAAAAATACTATGAGCGCAAAAAGGTTAAAGTTGTTTCCTTGCAATATCCGTTTCAGATTTTTAGCGAAGCTGGAAGAGCGTGTGGAATCCGATGTTTTGCAGTTTACAGTGTGTGACATTATTGCTCAGCAATGTCGACGCTTCAGAAAGGTTTATGTGCCCTACCTCACCAACCAGTCGTATCAGGACGCCACATACCAAAGACTCATGTAAAAAGTTTGGCTTTTCATTTCTTCTTTTTGAGATAAATATCCCATAAAATCTAAATAACAATTCTGTGCTGCGTTCAGGAATGACAATCCTCAATTCAAGCGGATTGTGGACAACTTGGAGAAGAGTCAAGTTTGTCAGAGGCTTCCTCTCCGTTCCTTCTTGGTGCTTCCGTTCCAAAGGATCACCAGAATTAAGCTGCTGGTCCAGGTAAACCAAACACCAGTGATTATTTGGTATATTTAATCCAAATGTTTTACCTTTTTTTTTTTTTTTTACCTGATCCATGTGCTTTTTCCTGTGTAGAATATTGTAAAAAGAACAACCCCTGGAACAGTGGAGGCAGAAAACACCATTAAAGCTTTAACACATTTGGAAAGGGTACAGAAACTCCCTACCTTCACAGTATCTTTACACAGTTTAACTTTAGAAAGTGAAAGTGCGAACGTCCTTGTTTTTTTCTTTCTGTTTTAGATCATTCAAGAGAGTAACGACAGCATCACTGAAATGAAAACCATTGAGTCTTTGGTATCGCTAAGTGGCAAAGTGGAATTTGTGGATTGCAAGGTGAGCAACCATTCACTCAGCCCTTACATTTATTAACCCATACACAGATCTGTGAGAAGCTTAAGGTGAAGTGTCTTCACATGAGTTTTGGTGCCTCTTTTTACATTGTAGTATCTCTGATTGAAAATACGCATGTTAAACAGCTAAGATATGTGGAGGTAAATGTGCTAAATTCCAGCCAATTTATTAAATGAGATACATTCTAATGACATATTAATCAAAAGTCTTCCAACACCTCTTGTCTTTTACAAATTTGATTCAGTCCTTCAAACAAACAAAAAAGCAAATGGAAACACTTTATTTGAAGGGGAGTGCATAAGACTGACATAACACCTGTCATGAACATAAAAAAGTCTTCATGAATGTTTATGACAGCTGTCATGAAGTGTCATTTGGTAAATAATGACACTTTTAATGCAAAGTTGCTCTAAAAGTTGCATTAAAATTCCATTAAAAATGCCAACTTTGCATGATTTTGTAAATTATGATAATTTAATGCAAAGTTGGCATTTTTAACGGACTTTCAACTTTTAGAGCAACTTCGCATTAAAAGTGTCATTATTTATCGAATGACACTTCATCGCAACAGTCATAGACATTCATAAAGACTTCTTTTTGTTCATGACAGGTGTTATGTCATGCTTTTGACAGTGTCATCTCAGTCCTATGCACACCCCTTCAAATACCAAACAAATGAACCTCGCCTTTCTCTGCTGGACAGGTGGGACGACAAATGACAATGGTGGTTAAATTTGAATCAAGATATTTAGCTAGAATTTGTTGAAAACAACAAACTGTAATAAACAAGTTGTTATTGGAATTCAACCCTGAATGAATACTTAATAATATATAGAAACGAATAGTGTTGGATACAATTTTTATGATTTATGTTTACCCTACAAAATGTCTTTTCATAGAGTGCAGGATGCATTTGTAGCAAATTAATTGAAAACTGCATTACTCTTTCTGGGAATTCGACTTTATTTGCTAGTTAGCAACTTAACATGAGAAAGAGGATTACTTACCTCTGCTAGACAAATTCCTCAGTTGTTGTTGAACATGTTTTTCTTGCTTGGTCCAATTTGTCATAAAAAGGTTTTATTTTGTATACAGCATCAAGCCACACAATATGAATACTTTGCAAATTCACATAACAGCTGATTAACTTAGATTAGGACCCCGTTATTGAACATATTAATTAGCTTTATTTCCTGGTTGTGTTTCAGACTCTTCCTCTCATCAGTCAAAAACGGCGGCTGGTGAAAGAAGGTCCCATCACTCAACTGATGGATTTCTCTCTAAAGCAAACGGAGAGAACCATTTACTTACATCTCTTCAATGACTACCTGCTAGTATCGACACAAAAAGAGTGAGTCAGCAAACAGATCATTTTGTGTTGTCATCAAATGTGATCACCATCACCATCTAACTGCAGCCTGTTATCCTCCTATCTGCTGCCTGTGTTCATCATCTGTTTAGTTTTTCACATCCTTTCTCTTCCACTGCCTGACCTGGGTGATTTATTTATTTATTTTTTTGCTGCGTGCCTTTCGCAGAGGGGGAAGGTTTACCGTCATCGATCACTGTCCTGTGGAGGATCTGCGTACCGAAGACTTCCGTGTCAAAATCCTGACCCTGCAGAAGAACAGCTTCCGCTTACACTTGGCACAGAATTCCCTGCTGCTAAGAACTGAGACAAAGTAAGAGATTGCACCGAGGACATCTGTTTGGTTTCCACACCATTAGAGTTTGATCAATTATGCATTACTCGCTACGTTTTCCCAATCAGGAGCGATAAGCTACGCTGGATATCTGCCCTCTCCAGGACTTGTCCTGCAGTTGATTTTTCTACTGCAGAAAGTAAGTTTTATCCACAAAAACTGCATTCATGCATCAATTACAGGTACATCTCAATAGATTTTAAAAGTTTATGTATTCCAGAAACTCAGTCCACTAACGGTAGCAGATTTTATATATTGATTACACACAGATTAATACTTTCAAGCCTTTTATTCTGCTAATTTCAACGATTTTTCTCTGACAGCCAATGAAAACACAGTAACTGATTTCTTAGGTTAATATATAAAACTTGTAATTGGACAAACAAGCCTCACTGGATCACATATTACAATTTAATGAGATGTATGAAGTAATACATTTGAAAATTGAATAAACATTTTGGATTTTCAAATGTGATTTCAGAATATTCGATATTAATTAGAATGTAAATAATTAATAATGTGATGTAAAGAAACCCCCATTTCAGGCTGATGCAAATTGTAAAAGGCATAAAAAATACTGACAAACACGAAAGGAGCCACTGGTATTTTCGTCAACTAAACATATTTACATTCAACTAATTAATTGCTTTAATTTAGAATAATAATAACTAATAGTACTTGACTCTGCATATGCTTATTTAATAACATGGATTATGCCAATAAAAATCAAAATTTTTTCTCCAGTCAGTATAATTGACATTGCATTTTGCTGCCCTCTAGTGGATAAACAGTTGCTCATTTGTGTCTGATACACCCATGTTTCATGGGTGTTGGTGTCAGTAATTTGCACGTTTCCCAAAGGGAGTTCATTAACAACCAACCATGTTGTGTGTAGTGTCGCAAAAATACAGAGGGACAATTGGGATTCACTTTTGCCCAACTCTACACACACTGTGGGTTAAACTAAGAAAAGAAAATTAAAATTAAATAAATCAATGGAGCAATTCCAAAATTGACCAGATGCTAATAATACTGTGAAATATAGTGTTCGTGTCCCAAATGGAGATTTTCATTTACCTTTTACCTGTTAGGTATCACAGTGAAAAAAACTGTTAGAACCCCTGATCGTTTGTGTAAGCTCTCCTGATAATTAAAGTAATCTGTTGGTTAAGTAAAACTGGATATGCTAGAGTGTAGATTCAGCTGCTTTCTCTTTATGTATGAGGTCATACAACGCAAATACAAAAACAAGAAAAACCTAAAACAGACCAATTTTAATTAAACATGGTTACTCATTGTAACCATGTCCCCAATTATTAATAAATTATTTAACATGATTTCTTTGCTCTTCATCCAGATTTAGCACAGATGCAGTGCATCAGAGCTTACATTGCTCAGCAGCCGGATGAGATGTCTGTAGAAAAAGCAGACATCATTTTGGTTCACCAGGACAGCGGAGACAGTAAGACAATTGCTTTCTTTCCCCATTTTGATGAATTGTAGTGTTTACTGACAGATCCATATCTTAGGATTGAAAAGATATGTGCATACAGTGCCGTGAAAAAGTATTTGGTCAACTTCAGATTTCTTCTGGGGTTTTTTTCCCCCACATTTTAATTTCTCAGAAATTCAAGCAAATTTAATTTAAGAAAATTACTTTGGATCTTAGCCAAAAATGTAGCAAATATCTTTCTAGACTTTTCTATTCCCTCTCCAGTTGCAGGTTGTTTTGTATCTCAAGGTTAGGCTTGATCTGTTGCTTTTGGAGAACTTTTAGCCTACTTACAGTTGTCAGACAGGTTTTTACTTAAGCGACTTCTTGATGCCACAGGTTGGTAATGAGTAATGAGGTCTTGTCAACTTCTAAAAAACAATGTGTTTAATCCCAACAGAAGAGTTTCATTACAAGCAAAGGCTTCTTCACAGAGCTGTAAATTGAGATTATTTTGCCGACTTGTTCACACTCGATTGTTTTTCTCTGCAGACTGGATAGAGGGGATTAGACTGTCGGACCAGCATTTTGGATGGGTGCCCAATTCCCATTTGCAAGTCATAAGCAACGACAAAGTCAAGAAGCGCAACCTGTCGGATGCTCTCACACTAACAAAGGCTAAAGCTGCTGTCTGAGTACAACACTAAGAGTGGCAGTGAGCTGAGGGATGTCCTGAAAGGAAGTTTCTCTGCTGTGTGCATTTTACTACTGAAAATGGACCATAACTATTTTGACATTTGTCTGTGTTATCCGTGCATGACAGGGCATTGGCTAAAGAAAAAGTTGGAGAAATTCAGCTAAGTGCAGAATTGGGCCCCACTTATTTCACTATGTGGAATAACGATAAAAAAACAGGCCTGAGAGTCATTCCCCATTTATATTCTCAATGATTACCTGATATACAAACTGCCTTGCTAACATTGAGGATTTCAGTGTACACAGATATCTTAAGTTTTTTTTTTACTTCCTTTCTTTGAGAAATATTTTGGTAAGGTACTAATTGTTTGTATATGATGACCAAATAAATAAAATAGTGTTTTTTAAAATAAAATAAAATAAAATAAAATAAAAAGAATCCATGTATGCATGGCAGCAGACAGGTATGCCTTCTTAATAACATTTCTATGTACAGAGCTTGAACAAAACATTAAAATGAATTCACAAAATAAAGAAACATCTGACTTCTGGATATGCATTGATTTGGAGTTGTGTGCCTTCACCATTTATAAAATATTTTTCACTATTTTTTTATTGACTGAGTTACAGTGCTTTTCAAAACTATTAAAGGTTTTCAATTTTTTCATCAAAGAAAGATCAGAAAAGTTTTGTTAGTATTTGTATTCGTCTCTCCAAGTCCACATTTTGGAGAACCACAGCCTTTGCTCCAGTTTTACATCTCCCAGCCTCTTTACATGTTTTCTAATTGCCCTTAATTAAGCCCCATCTATCTTCTTTCTTACTTTTACATACTTTCCTGCCACTGCTGAAGAAAAACATCACTTCACCATGACCCTGGCAGCGTGTTGAGTAGTGATAGCTTTCCTCCACACAAAGCATTTTCTTTATAGGGCCCCCCCAAAATTATTTTGGTTTCGTCAGAGCAGAGCATCTTCTTCTACATATTTGCTTTATTCTCTACATGGGTTTCGAATGGCTTTCTTTCAAAAACAGCTTTCTTCTTTCCATTCTTCATCAGACTAGGTGCTGTGCCAGCAGACTTTCGCACCATAGCTGTGTATCTCTACATTTTCTTTAGAGTTCCCCCTTTGCCTTTTGGTGACTTCATTGATTTTTCCTCTCAATTCCTGATCTAAGTAAATGGGTGGTCAGTGCTTTGGTAAATGCTAGAAGCTTTGTTAAAAATCTAACCCTGCTCTAATCTTCTCCACAGCTTCATCCATGTGTCTGCTGTGCCTCCTGGGTTTTCATGACCCTGTTTTTTCAATTTTTTTTTTTTTTTTTTTTTTAGGAAGTTTGGTGTACAATATGCCATTTTAATTTTACATTAGGCCTTTTTTCCATCTATCATATAAAATCCCAGCAAAATATATGTAAATTTACCAAATGTGAAAAAGAGTGATTTTTTTTGTAACTGGATGAGCTCTGTGTACAGAACAAATTGTGAACAGTTCATACAACGAAAAAAAAAAATGGTACACGCCAGGCACGTAGTCTGTCTTAGGCGTGACTGTGAACTTGGTTCCTCGCTCGGCTTGGCTCGGTTTCCAGGATTTCCTACTGGATCTGCCTCCTGCCACTTAGGAAAAACGGGCTGTCGCTGCTCCAGACTAGCAACCAGATCCAACCAATAAATGCAGAGCAATCCGCCTCCATCTTTCCTTCTATTGGACATCTTTTGGTGTCAATGAAATATCTCATCTGTGATTGGCTGATTTTATTTTAAGGGGCGGGTACTCACGTATTTGTTGTTTATGTTCAGCAGAATAAAGTAGAGCAGTCGACATCTTTGAAGGCAGGTTCTGACTTGTACGCAATGACAGCTTTGAGGCTTTAAGTCATCACAGTGCTTGTTTTGAGGGACTTTACGACCCAGGAGTATACCTGTGTTTAAACTGATTTGAGCGATTCTTGTTTTTTGGTCGTTTCCAAAAGGTATGTAAACAGTAAGGTTGGTGAAATTATTAGCCACGGTTGTTACTAGCTAGCACCTTAAACTTCATAATTTACCAACTTTACCAAGAATTTGTCGTAAGATTTAACCTCCAACTGTCTTATATTTGGTGATAAATATTTATATACAGTAATATGTTTGCCTGGGGTTGTGCTGTAAGCCATTTTCATGAAGAAAGCGAGCAATCTGATCTCATTGTTGTTGTCAAGAGTGACGTGGCGTCACTTCACGGATCATATCAGAAACACAAAAATCTAGTTTCATCTTCCCCACTACATCTTGGACCCCAATTATAAGAGCCCACTTATGAAGTGACTAAGAGCTGAGGACATATACACGTTTATATCCCCAATCTGCGTAAATACTGGAAACTGTGCCTTGACTTAATTTGTCACTTCGCCCCTTTTACACCACTTGCCACTGTTTCCTGCATATGCATTGGCATTTTGCCCATCCATTCTGCAAATCTGGATCTTTAAATATTGTGTTGTTCACGTACGTTTGCAGTTTTGCTCATTTCGTTTTGACCGTTCATCAGTTCGTTTCGTTCCCGTTTCGACAACAAAACAATTTAAATTTATATAGTCTTGTTGCAGTCCGATGTAAGGCAATGCTGGGTGATTCCAGTAAGTAATATTTACACACAGTAGGTTGCTTAGAGTTAAGACAACTTGTCAAAATTAGATTTTTAGAACCAAAATAAATCGAACTAGGGTCTTATGCAAAGTTTTCAGAAAATAATATAAATTGTATGCAAATTCTATATAAAACTGAAGCATTTACATAACTATTTATCTCAACTTCTTTACAACTTTAAATAAAGTTGGTCTAAATGGGCACGAAATGGAAATGAGAAGGGACGAAATGACAACATAGAGGATTAATGGTTGTAATTGACCATAGCATTTCAGTATATTTTTTCGTTGCTTACTTGAATAATGGACATAAGTTTTCATAAAAATGCTGATGATTTCACCATCAGCTTAATTTGACTGTTTTATATTATCTAAGAACTTTAACAGATTTTGTAACCTTGATTTAAACAAGAATAAGAAAAACCTGCTTGGAGGTATTATTTGGATTAATGATGTATTAGAAAATTGCTTTAGTTGTCAAATAGGTACGGAACGCCCCCTTGTGGGTACGAAGCTTCCCACTGCAGAGGCAACATTTTTGAACTGAGCCTCTGTTTTAATGCGCGGCTGTGGAGTAAAACCTGGAAGAATGATAGCACTGCTGTTTATTTCAAAAAGGCTTTGAGGCAGCCATTAAAGATATTGTTTGGAATAAACAGATCTAAATATTAGATTTGATTAAATCACAATAATTTTTATTTTGCAGGTATATATATATATATATATATATATATAT